TATTTTGAATTCTTGTTTCTTCATCCTACTCTGGTTGAATGTTTATTTCTTCCTTTTGTTCCAAACCATTGATTTGAGTCCCAGTTTTCTTTATGGCACTGCTGGCTCCCTGTGCATTTTCCTTTATTTCACTTTCCAAAGCCTTCACTTTTTCCTCTGTTTTGTAACTATACTCACCCGTTTCTGTGAGCATCCTAATTACCAGTGCTTTGAACTGTGCGTCTGATAGGTTGGTTACCTCTTCATCACTTGTATTTTTTCTGGAGCTTTGATCTGTTCTTTCATTTGGGCCATTTTTTTTTGTCTTGGTGTGCCTGTTATGTCGTGAGGGGCAGAGCCTTAGGTACTCACCAGGTGGGGCATCCCGCATTGTTGGTTGTGTTGCTGTATGTGGGGGAGGGTTCTGAGAGGGAACAATGTACCTTCCTTAGCTCTTGGCTGGTTTTCAGTCTCTTCCCTCACTACCCACAAACAAATTGGACCCTTCTGGTGCTGATTCCCATGTGGGTGTATTTGTATGTGTTTTAGGACCCTGTGGGTCTCTCCAACAAACTTTCCTGTGAGGCTGGGAGTTTCTCCCATAGCACAATCCCCATGGGTCTTTTCAGTCAGGTTTTGAGGCTTTATTTTCCCGTGTTGGAATCCTGGGTTGCATAGTCTGTCTCGTTCCCCAGTTGTTTCTCCCAGTTTATCTGCAAGTGAATGTAGGACTTCCTGACCCGGTCCTCTAGCCACTACCTTACCAGTCATCCTCTCCACCCTGGCTGCTCGTCTTGACCCCTCTATTGGTCTGGATTAATGTTTCTTCTTTAACTCCTTGGTTGTTAGACTCATATACAGTTGGACTTTCAGTCAGTTCTGGTTGTTTTTCTGTTTTTAAATTGGTTGTTGTTTTTTTGTTTGTGCAAGGAGGCAAAGTATATATGCCTGCGCCTCCATCTTGGCCAGAAGTTGCAGTATTTCTATACTCTGAAAAACCACAATTATTAAAATGGACATGTAATGCTGTTTTTTAGTTTTTCCTGAATGTTTACTTTTGTTCTGAGAATTAGAAAGTGATTTAGAAATAGAAAATGGTCTGTTCATTTCATGCTATTCTTGAGTCTCACATTAATGTTTTACAGTTCTCTTTTTACTATAGCATAATAAAAAGTTTTATTATTATTATTTTATTTATTTATCTTTAGAGGGGAAGAGAAGGAGAGAAATATCAATGTGTGGTTGCCTCTCGTGAGTCCCCTGCTGGAAACTGGCCTGCAACCCAGGCATGTGCCCTGACTGGGAAACGAACCGCGATCGTGTGGTTCGCAGGCCCACACTCAATCCACTGAGCTACACCAGCCAGGGCTAAAAGTTTTATTTTCTATAGTGCCACAGAATTCTTTCTAAGTTGTTACCTAAAAAATAAACTTAGGAAAATACAAAGACTACGTAAAAATAAAAGAAATTTATAAAAAAATTAAGCATGATAATAGTCACAGGAATGTAGATATAGCATAGGAGATATAGTCAGTAGCATAGAATAACTATGTATGGTGCCAGGTGGGTACTAGACTTATAGGGGAATTCACTTCCTAAGTTTGTAAACATCTAACCACTATGCTGTACACTTGAAACTAATATAAAATCGGTTTTTGTGAGTGTTGACTGTAATGGGAAAGTAAAAATAAATATCATTAAGCATGAGATTTCAGGTATATTTAGACACTGTTTGTGTTGTTGTTTGTCTCATACCTCTAACTTTAAATTTGAGTATGTGTAGTGTACTGGTTTAGGAATGGAAGCTTCACAGGGGGTCTTATTTGATTGAATCCCAGCTCTTCCACTTTGTGGCTGTGTGGCTTTGGACAGATCTTTTAAGCACTGTATATTTTAATTTCCTCATCTGAAAAATGGGAATAATAGTAATTGTAATGCTTATTAGGGTCATTAAGAGAATTTAATAAAACCAGGTGTATACTAAGCACTGAATCAGTGCTTACCTATTGTTATCATATATCTGGGAGAGAGATTGTTTTATCAGGACTTTGTGGCCAAAGTCTGGGTTTAAAACCTATACTCACAGTTTTTAAATTCTAAGCTTGTTTCTTCCTGTGTGAAATGGGGACTATCATTATGTTTCTCCCTGCAGCACTGTAGGGAAAGTACCTGATCTCAAGGAACATTCAGTAGTTGTACTAGCAGCCTCAGCTTCAGCTGTCCACGTATAATTGAATTTATGGCCTTAAGCAATACCTTATGTAGAAATTGTTGAAAAGACGCTGTTAGTGTCCACAAAATAAATAGAAAATATAGTACAGGGGCTACCTTCATGTTGAGCATTTTGGGTGGAAATGGTTGGCAGGGACTCTTTTCTTGTCTGATTAGATCATGGCCCCCAAGTAAACAATCAACAGATTTAAGTGCTTGCCCTCAAAAGTGGGTAATGTCTGCAAATTATCAAGCTTAAGTTGAAGTATTATATGACCTTAGACTAAGTATGCCAATATTTGTTTGACTTATAAACATGGCAATTTCATAGGGTTCAACATAGCATTTACATAAGTTTTATATATCCTATAGATCTTTAATGAAAGTATATGAATCTCTCCTTTTGAATTACTAGCCTTTGAATAAATTTGGGAGTAGTGCTGAGGTTTTGTTGGTATAACCTCAGCATTTTTTGGAAAGATTTATTTACTCTTTGCTAACAAAATTGTTAAGGAAATGCTTAGAGAAATGTAGAGATGGTTTTTTCCATGCTAGAGGATGATGCTTGGATTTAGAGTCTCTGAGTTAGGAAGGAACTTTTGAAACACCTACAGTAACAAAATTTTCTTAGTAAATTTGCAAATAATTATTACATGATATTTTTCTGGATTCTACCTAGTATATTGATAGAATTGTAAATGGGTACTTACTTTCTTTAAGGCACTTTTTAAAATCTTTTGTCATGCATGCTATTATAGTTGTGCCAAATTTTCTCCCTTCTCTCCCCTCTACCCAGCCCTCCCTCCATAAGGCAATTTGATGAGATGTTGCAAAGGCCTTAAAATTTTTATTTCCTTTGAGCCAGTATTTTTGCTAAGAATTTATTTCAAGAAAACAGTTTAGGATAATTGTAAACATTTAGCCTTAAGTATGTTTATTGTAGTCTTACCTCTAATAATGAAAGATTGAGAATGATACCAATGACCAGTTATAGGGTATCTTCATCTATTCCTCAATTCCCTATCCTGATTGCTCCCCCCTGGATTTTCTCATGCTGGTCAATGTTCTTCTTAAAGTGCGGTGGTCAGAACTGGACCCAGTATGCTAAGGGTGCCCTGACCTCACAGAGGAGAGGGGGTCCAGGACTGCCCTTAATCTGGACATGGAATTTCTGTCATCAGAGGCAAAGTTTCTCAGTGTCATCTTCTTTCCCTTTGTATAATTGGGGTTGCCAAAACCCAAGTATTGTCAACCGGTGCTGTTCCCCAGCCAGGCTTGTGTCTTTTAAGGAGCCACAGTAACTGCTATTTTCAGATGCTAGTCATGGGATCTCCTCTTTTCTTTGCCTGACCTGGGCCCAGTGTTCTAGTGCCGAGAGGGGATCTGATGCCAACATGTGAGTCACACTCACTTGCTACTGTTCTTTTCCAGAGTTTGAGGCCACTTGTTGCTGCAAGTCAGCACCCTCTGTTCCCCCTACCCAGCTTGCATTGTCTCCCTGCCTCATCTCCCATGCTGTGCTTGAACATAATGCTCTTCTCTGCATCCATGTGTCTACTCTAGTTTTGTGCTGTATTTTGAAAGAGCTGAATCTGCTGTTGGTGTCCACATATAGGACACAATGCTGATCATCTGTTGGAAATAGTTAATTTAATAAATTCTGTGTTTGATTCTTGATTTCCATATTTTCTTGGATATTTATAATTGGCACAATCTTAGGGCCAGGTTTTCTGAGAAATGCGCCATGGAATCAGATATCTTTTATCTTACCATTCTCTAATTGTTTTAGACTTGGTAGGTTCGTGAAGCTCTCAGTATAGCACAATTCTGTTTTTCTATGTGTACCCTAAACCCTGGTGTGTGGCCTCAGAGTTACTTTTTAAAGTAAAGAATATTTAGTTATTTGAACATTTTAATTTCTGATTTTTCTCACACTCAATATTTCCAAAAACTTACTGGAATTAATGCATAGTCCATCTTCCCTTTGGAAAGTCACATTGTAGTTGAGCATGTTAAAGGCTCTTTGGATCCTGCAGTTAAGAAAGCTGTTCACATTTGCTAATATATTTCCTGCAATTGACTATGAAACAAACCTCCCCCCCATAAAATATTACTTAAAATTACATGGAAATACACATTTTGGGAGAGGCATTTAACTTTTTCTATGATGCCTTCTGTCTGTCTTTCCAAGTTTCCCTTTTTTTCCAGGATAGTGTTGCTGGAAGCTGGTCCTAGATATCTTGTTGAGTAAGTGGTGAGGGGCACATTCTGGATCAAACAAGTGCTGTACAGCATTACAGTGCCTCTGAGAGAAATAGGCACAGGGCATAGTAGAGGCATACAGAAGGGACTGATTTACTTCTCCCTAACTGGAGGGCATAGGCAGTGATGGCCTCATGGGAGAGATGATACATGAGCTGAGTATTGTGGAAGGTGAGTTGGTGTTTGCCAGGCATTAGTGGAGTGGGAGAGTGGGAAAAGGGCATTTCAGGTGAACGAAGGCAAAGATGAGAGAAAGAGCTTGGTGGACCAGAAATGGGGCAGCAAAAGCTGCAAGAAATGAAGCTAGAGTGGTAGGGGGCACTTTGCATGTTAGGCAACTAACTTTGGTTTTGTTTTAGTTTGGGGCGTAATTTAAAAGGTTTACTCATTTATAAAGGGATTATACTCCAAACAGGGAAATTGTCAAGCAGTGCAAGTTGAACGCTCAAGATTGTTTTATGATCAAAGTCCTATGTCTTTTTTGTTTTATTACACGATAATTTTATATTTCTCTTCTGATTACCTCCTTTCTTTCTGTGAAATGACAGGTGGTATGCCAGTATTTGCGAAATCCCCATGTATCAGATACACAGTTGCTGCAGAATATTTTTCAAGCTCTGAATGTATATCACAATTATTCAGGCCAGGCGAGATGCCTAAATATGTCAGAGATAGCAACTAGGAGTCTGGGAACCCTGGGTTGGAGCTATCAGGTAAGTGTGTATAGTTTCCCCAAGTGGTACTTACTTTTCTCTGCTATGAACGTGTTGTAAGAGAGAATCCACAAAATTTTGTCACTTAACCCGAATCTCAATTTGGTCTCATTCAGAGATCATGAATAAATTTCCTCATTCATTCTTATATGTATTTAATCATCATCAAATATATTCTGAGTTCTTAACATTGGTCAGTCACCTTTCTAGGTTCCAAAGATACAGAGATAAATAAGATATGATCTTACCATCACATATAGCTTGTTGAAAAAGAAGTGTACCTAATAGTACAATAGATCTTGATAAGTTTTATAAAGGAACTATTTTATGGACACACATGAGGTCTGTCCAGAAAAAGCCCAACCCTTGTTAATGTAGTGAATGGTTTGCACGACATCAATAGAACCTGTGAGCCAAGGCGAGGGGACTGGCATGTGCATGTGTGAACAGTGGTGACTTCACTGTACTAGTCAGTGGGGGCAATAGATGCCACTTGTAGGGGACTGGTTTGTTTCAGTCTGGCAAATGTGACTCAGCTCTATATGGAAAACCTACAGAAGCAAAGTGGTGGACAGGAGCCAGACGTTCAAACTGAGTTTTCCTGTGGGAATCAGGCTTAAACAATGCATGCAGACTGTTGTGGCTTGCTCTTGCTAAAACTCCATTACCCTGGTCTAAAACAACAAATGCGTATTGTCTATCTTCAAGGTAATTTTTAAAGCCTGTGCAAATTTTCCCATGGACAGAGCTAATCAGCTTATTGCCATTCCCCTCTGCATGTTATTTTCATTTTCTTGATTGTATCTAAAATGTAGACAATAATATTCTGTGTAATAGATAATAAATCTTTCTCTGATGCAAGGCCTGAGGAAAACAATAAAAGCTTGTGTAGGCAAGGGTCAAGGCACTCTCCTCTTGAGGGAGTGGCTGAGGCATTCATAGGCACTCTTCCTGTGACAGAGTAGCTGTGCCATTCCCTTTTTCTCAACAGGAATGTTGTCGCCTGTGCATTTATTCTCATCTTCAGTCACAACAGGCAGTCTCTGCTGGCCGGAGTCTGCCATAGCCACTGAGTGAGATGTTATGTGTACTGCAAAACTGTCACTTTTAAAATAACTGAGCAGAGCGATAAATCTGCATCAGTTTTTGTGTTAAGCTTGAACATTCCTCTGTGCAAGCTAGTTGATAATTCAAAAGTCTGCAGCTTCGGGCAACTGGTGATTGGCAATTTCATCATGAGAGTGTGCCTGCTCATGCATCATGTCTCGTGCAGAGTTTTTTTGTGAAACATCAAATCACCCAGGTGACTCAGTCCCTGCACAGCCCATATTTGGCACCCTGACACTTCTGGCTTTTCCCCAAACTAAAATCACTTTGGAAGGGAAGAGATTTCAGACCATCAGTGAGATTTTTCTGAATCAGTGAGATTCACAAAAATACAACAGGACAGCTGACAGCATTTGGGAGAACTGTGTGATATATCAAAGTAACTACTTTGAAGGAGACTGAGGTGTCATTGTCTGATGTACAGTATTTCTTGTATCTTTTTCAATAAATGTCTCTTTTCATATTACATGGCTGGATACCTTCTGGACAGACCTCATAAAAGAAGGGGAGCCTAACTTCACTGTTTGTGCAGCTTTGTTTCTTATCAGTACAATAAGGATAATAAGAATAAAAATACTTTCCTCCCAGAATACTTGTTTTGAGGATTCAATATGATAAGAGATGTGAAAGAAAGCGGTTTATAAGGAAGGAATATATAGTTATAACTTCTGTGACTTCTCAACTTTATAAGGAAGGAATATATAGTTATAACTTCTGTGCTTCCCAGGAGCAATGAGAGGTGGTGTGGGACAGAGCTAACAGACAGGAGCTCTGAAGCCTGACTGCCTGACATCCAACCCTGACTTTGCTGCTTACTAGCTGTATGACCTTGGACAAGTTATTCAACTTCTTTGTGCCTTATTTTTTATTAGATTCTTTTGGTTTGCTTTCTTAGGCCTGCACAGAAATGGTCATGCCCTTTTGTACAAACGGGATTGATGACATGTTTGAACCTCACTTATGGGACTTGAAGGAATTTTCAGATGATTGTTTTAAACAGTGGGGTGTGAAACCAAGGCCCTCCTGGATCACTACTATGTATGGAGGCAAAAACATCAGTTCCCATACGAATATCATTTTCAGGTGAGTTTTTATTGGTCCAGAGAAAAACTTTGGTTGATAGAGATACTTGTAGAATAGCTGAGAACACAGAACCAGGAAAAATGTTGGATAGTAAACAACATAGAATACATGTAGTGGCATCCTTTTTTCCTATTCCTTGAAAAATAGAGGATGCTGAGAAGAGATATGATTTCATACTCTATTACTAACATGCTTAAAGGATTAAAAACAATATAGCAACAGATTTAAAATATTTTTAAAAACTCCCCAGCACACATGAAACATCATCTGTTTTCAATTTGTCTTACTTTTGTTACTGTTGTTATTAATGGTAATAAAAACTTTTTAGTATTCATTCAACAAACACTCTTGAAGTTGCCAACCTTTTCTGTTTTAGGCACTATATGAGTTACTTTAAATATATTATCTAAAATTGAACGTCACAATAATCCTGTGAAGTAGTTGTTACCGTTTTTTATTTAACTGAGAAGGAAAGTGAGGGTCACAGTGTTCAGTCATTTGCCAAAAATTCATCCAGCTTTGTTTTAGTTACTGATAAAGCCAAACCTTGGTCTGTTTGACCATAAAAATCCTGTTTGTTCTCCTATGTTACACTGCTCCTAGAGAGACATATTTGGCTTTGGTTCACATCAGAGTTACGTGAGCAGACTCTCTGTGTGTCTGATTGTGACTTCAATATTTCCATGTTTTGGCTTGTACAGCAGGTTGTCAGCTGTTAAGAGTAGCAGCCCTTAAGACTAGCTGTAAGGGTTGTCAGCTAGTTGCTATTCTTAATCCAAAAACTTCCCAAATCTATATGGAAAGAGTAGAGAGATACCCTTCCATAGATCTTACCCTGGAGCTGTTGTTTAAATGGTATTGAATAAATGTCATTCTTTGACAAGCTCTTAGAGACAAGAGTTCAAACTGCCTTAGGGATGTGCTCAACAGCACTGAAGAGTGGGGAGTGCCGTTCTGATGGAAGGATCGGAAGGATCGCCGTCTGGGTCTAGGCCCACAGCAGGGTCCCCTTTGCAGTCTCTCTGACTGGGTTGGTGCTGTTTTCTCACCCAGTGGGGTGTCTATTCAAAATAAAAGTAGGAACACTTTAATGGAAAACTTAAAGATTTATTGTTTAATTTCCTTAAATTGCGCTCCTTGTTTTCAATAGATTTTTGACAACTGTAGTCTTCAGCTCAGCCTGAAAAAAGTGACAGTTGAACAAATAAATCTATTTACAGATTTTAAGGAAACTTTACCAAATTTGGGTGTTTGAGATTAGGGAAACATGAAAGGACCAAGAGGACTTAAAAAAGCTTAACTACAAGCTTTATGTCTCCAAGCTCATCTTTGTTCCTCACAGGAGGAAGCACTCTTGTCCATTTCTTGTTTTTCTTTAGGAGCTAATCTCTATGTGGTATTTATATGGAATTTTCTAGTATGCTGACATTTTAAGCTCATCCTTCCTTGCTTTGACCTTATAAAGCTGAAGTTCAAGTTGAATTATAATGTGCAGTCTTTAACTCTTTGTGTGAAGACTTTAATATGTGAGTTTTGGTTAAATGCAGTGTCCTTTTTAAATTGGATTCAGCCATTACAGGTGTTTATTTAGTTATTCACCTGACCTCTTACTTTCCTCAGGCCATCAAAATTACAATAATCATCATCATCATCACTGGGAGGGGGACAGATTTTGTGAAAAATTTTGGGGAATAAAACTGAAGCCTATAGGTGGAAATTATAGCTCAGTGTTAAAAAGTTTTAGTTTGGTATAAGAAAGTTCTTTCTAACAGAGCTGTGCCAAAGGAGAATGAGTTGACTTAAATAAAATTACTTGTTCTCTTTGATCCTCAGTTTTCTCTTCTGAAAAAATGAGAATAATAATACCATGCACCCCATAAAGTTGTTATGGTACTTAAAAGAGTTAACCTAGTGAGTACTCATCCCAGAACTGTCAGATATATAGGGTCAAAAAAATTTATTGAATGAATAAATGGAGGTACACTCTTTGGCACTTTACATTGAAGCCACAGGAAACTGTTTATTTGTCCCTGCATGTCCTTTTCCTTCCTCTTTTCCTCCCTTTCTTAAGACACAGGCGACCTCCAGGAAACCCTCCCTGACTCCCTCAGGGAGGTCAGGTTTCTGCACCCGCTTAGCTCCCAGGGCCTGTGACTGTCACCAGCACTCTGTGTGGAAATTATCTGTCCGTGTTTCTGTCTACCCCCATGAGACTGTGGACTTCTTAATGTCAGGGACTGTCTGAATCATCTCTGTACCTTTAGCACCTGCTACAGTGACTGGCACATACTGAATGTACAATCAATGTGTTGGTAAAAACGAGGAATGAAATACAAAGCTCGGGAAGGCGTCAGAGGCACGTGAAAGGTTAAAGATGTGAAGATGCTGGTTAATCCACTTCTGCAGCGCCAAGTCTACTTTTTTAAAAGAAATCTTTTTTTATATGTTGCTCGGTGAAAACTCCAGTGCCATTTTTTTAAGTTACTTAAAAATTCACAATTTTGCTTTTCTGAAGAAAGCACTTTTCCAAAGTAAGGAGCAGCCTCAGGTGTCTCTGTGCTGTGTACTTAATGGCTACTGGCTAGAAAACACTTCTGGTTGATGAGTGAGAAAATGTCTTATGAAGAGCCATGTGAAAATATCTTTATGTTCATGCTTCCCTCCTTACATGCCTCCCACAAACGCATGACTGCTTTTCAGATTGAGAAGTTCAGTCCGTAATTGGAGATTTGGCAGTTAAGGGCTTGGGCTTTGAAGTTGGAGAGACCAGGGTGCTGTTCTGCTTCTTCACTGAGTAAGCTGCGTGGACTCAGGCAGATTGGCTAGTTATTTAAGGTAGAAATCGTGAGTGCCTGACAGGGTCATTTCAGGGAGTGGTTAGACTATTATGGAAGGGAGCACCATGAGGGCAGAGATTCTGTCTGTTCACTGCTGAATGCCCTGTGCCCAGTCAGTGCCTGGTACAAAGTAGGCACTCAGTAAACATTTGTTGAATGAATGAAGATTGAAAAACAGTAGCTATTAACATAGGGTTGGCCAAAAAGTCTGTTTAGTATTTTCCATAAATTAAAAGACACATTTTTGGACTTCCGCCAAGATGGAGGCGTGGAAACACTTTGCCTTCTCGCACAACCAAGTCTAAAAACAAAAGTTTTAGCAACAAAAAATGCAGCCAAACCACAGAAAATTGAACAATACTAAGTCAGACAACAATGAACCACTCAGCTAGACCAGTAAGAGGGGCAGAGCCAGCAGCAGAATGGGTTAGGCAAAAAAGATCCTCCAACCCAGGCAGCCAAGGGCGAATCCCAGGTGTGGGGTAGCCACGGGCGGACCCAGTGAAGGCGCAAGGCAGCAGGTCGACCACGGTCACACATTTGTGCGTAGATAAACCAGCAAAGGAGTGAGCAGTGAGACAGACCGCACAGGCCCCAGTGGCGGGAAGCAGCAGAGGGGACCGCTATTGCTCCCCCTCAAATCCTACCCCCACATACAGCATCACAAACCAGCGACCTGGGTGGCCCCGCCCCGGGGAACAACTAAGGCTCCTCTCCTCATACGTAACAGGCATGAACAGATCAAAACATGGCTCAATTTGATCTTATCTGAGAAGCACTTTATCTGTTCTTCCATTCTAAATGAAAGTTTTGCTAGATAGAGTAATCTTGGTTGTAGGTCTTTGGATTTCATGACTTGGAATCAAATTCAAGGAGTTCATCATCACCAAGCCCTTATTATATGAAATGTTAAAGGGACTTACCTAAGAAAAAGAAGTTAAAAAAACATGAACAGTGAAAGGACAGCAAACTCACAGTTATTAACAACCACACCTAAAACAAAAGCAAACTAAAAGGACAGCTAGATCAGGAGTGGAAGCATAGAAATGAAGATCTCAAGGAGGGTTAGCAACAGGGGAGTGGGAGGAGGAGAAGGGGGTAAAAGGTACAGAGAATGAGTAGCATAGACAGTAGATAGAAAATAGATGGGGGGGCAAGAATAGTATGAGAAATATAGAATCTAAAGTACTTGAGACACATGGTCATAAACTAAAGGGGGGAATGGTGGGGATGGGGTGGCAGGGAGGAGGGGAATGAAGGGGGGAATAGAACAACTGTAATGGCATAAGCAATTAAAAAAATAAATTAAAAAAAAACATGGCTCAAGAAGAACTCAGAGCGCCAGAGCCAATAAATCTAAGCGATGAAGAAATAGCCAAACTTTCAGGTGCACAGTTCAAAACACTGGTGATCAGGATGCTCACAGAACTGGTTGATTTTAGTCACAAATTAGAGGAACATATGAAGGCTAAACTAATTGAAATGAATGGAAATGCACAGGAAACCAATAGTAATGGAAAGGAAACTGGGACTCAAATCAAAGGAGTGGACCAGAAGGAGGATAAAAATGACCAACCAGAAAAGAATGAAGAAACAAGAATTCAAAAAAATGAGGAGAGACTTAGGAACCTCCAGGACACCTTTAAATGCTCCAACATCCGAATTATAGGGGTACCAGAAGGGGGAAAGGAACAGCCACTAGTGGAAAACTTATTTGAACTAATAATAAAGAAGAACTTCCCCATTCTGGCAAAGGAAATAGACTTCCAGGACATCCAGGAAGCTCAGAGAGTCCCAAAGAAGGTGGACCCAAGAAGGAACACACCAAGGCACATCATCATTACATTAGCCAAGATTAAAATGAAGGCGAGAATCCTAGAAGCAGCAAGAGCTAAGGGGACAGTCACCTACAAAGGAGTTCCCATCAGACTGTCAGCGGATTTCTCAAAAGAGACCTTACAGGCAAGAAGGGGCTGGAAAGAAGTATTCCAAATCATGAAATGCAAGGACCTACATTCAAGATTGCTCTATCCAGCAAAGCTTTCATTTAGAATGGAAGGGCAGATAAAGTACTTCTCAGATAAGGTCAAGTTAAAGGAGTTCATCATCACCAAGCCCTTATTATATGAAATGTTAAAGGGACTTATCTCAGAAAAAGAAGATAAAAAACATGAACAGTGAAAGGACAGCAAACTCACAGTTATTAAGAACCACACCTAAAACAAAAGCAAACTAAGAGAACAGCTAGATCAGGAGCAGAACCATAGAAATGAAGAACACATGAAGGGTTAGCAACAGGGGAGTTTGAGAAGGAGAAGGGGGGAGAAGGTACGGAAAATAAGTAGCATAGATGGTAGGTGGAAAATAGATAGGGGGAGGGTAAGAATAGTAAGGGAAAGATAGAATCTAAAGAACTTGTGGTCATATACTATAGGGGAGGGAAGGGCAGGGGAGGATTGTGCAGTTTGGAGGGGAATGAAGGGGGGAATAGAACAACTGTAATGGCATAATCAATAAAATATATTTAAAAAAGACATTTTTCATTTTCACCAATAACTTTATTTATTTGGATATTTTGAGTATGTTAGCTATCTCTTGCTATTGGCTTCCAGTGGGTAGGGGCCAGGGGGGCTGCCAAACATCTTCCAATGCATAAGACAGTCCCACAGCAAAGAATTATTTGACCAAAATGTCAATAGTGCTAAGAAACTGCAAAAGACTTTTGACGTGTTCGATCAGTCACAGCAACTTCATATGCTTCACAGATCTTTTTTTGCGTTTCAGTTGAATTTTTACCTTTCTTGAAATAATAAGTCATAATATGCTGAAAAGGTTACTTCAGTCATCAATATTAAAATGGCTGTGTAAAAATTCACCCATTTTGATATGGTTTTTATAGAATGCGTAGTGATAAGACAGGTGTCATAATAAAGTCTAATAAAATTGTTTTGAATGAAGTTAAAGACAAACAAACTTTTTGACCAACCCAATACTTCCAAAAGTCTTCCCCAAATTTTCAGTATTTTTTAAATATCATAGTGGTTTTGGTGGGAGAATTAATTTTTCCCCCCAACCCCAATTGGTAAGAAATTGTATTACCCCAGCGGTCATTCTCTGATATTTAAATATAACTCTGAAAAGCAATTCCAGAGAAGATGATTAGTTTAACATCATTTTTCAGGCAAATTAATTGTTGGCAGCAGTTAAGTGAGGCTCACTGTTGGGAAATTTATCCAGGCATCTATTGGGTTGGCCAAAAAGTTCATTATGTTTTTTCCATACAGTGACTCTACTGGGTCTTTGATGCGGACCCTGGCTGACAGGATCCGTGTATTGTGGCTGTGAGAGACAAGTTCACACAGACTATACAGAAGTCCTATGGAGAAAAAGGGACGGCATGGCTGCTCTCTAAGTGAGAGAGAGGGCCCTGACCCCTGCCTGGACAGGCTTTTATTGCTTTTCTACGTACCCAAATGTGATCCAAATCACATTTTTGGATTCGTTTTTTTTTTTTCAAGAATGATGTTATTAATCACAATTAATTATTTTTTAAAAGAAAAGTGAGGTGAGAATTTGTGGTGGGAATTTAAAATTGCATTTCAAACACATATATTTAAGTAACTAAATGAATATTTTTCCATTTAATTAGCTAAATTGATTGTATTAGTTTTCTTTTTTCCTTTTTACCCCTTTTTTTTCCTTTTTTCTTTTTTCCCCCCATATTTTTACCTCATACTCTTCCCCCACCCCTTTAATAATATTAAAGGTATATATATTATTATATATATACCTTTAATAATCCTCCCTGTGACCTCTATTTATGTGAATCTGTTCCGGTTCTAGTTGTTTGCTCAGTTTATGTTTTTTTAGGTGGTTGTTGGTAGTTGTGAGTTTCTTGTCATTTTACTGTTCATATTTTTTATTTTCTTCTTTTTCTTAGATAAGTCTCTTTAACATTTCTTACCTTAAGGGCTTAGGGATGATGAACTTACCCAGCTTGACCTTATCTTGGAAGCACTTTATCTGCCCTTCCATTCTAAATGAGAGCTTTGCTGGATAGAGTAATCTTGGATGTAGGTCCTTGCTTTTCATGATGTGAAAGTCACACTTGAATTTGGGTCTGCTAACCAGCATCATGCTGTGGGTTCTCTCCACCTAAGCTGCCCATCTGTACCCCTCCTCCCAGTTTGGATGAATGTTTCTTCTTTAACAACTTTGTTGTTGACCTTACATATAGTTTGATTTCCTGGCAGTTCTGGTTGTTTTTTTTTTAATTGGTCATGTGAGGAAATGAAGCATATCAACCTATGCCTCCATCTTGGCTGGAAGTTAGAAGAACTAATACTGTTAAATATCAATACTCTACCAACTGATCCAAAGATACAGCATAATCTCTACCAAAATCCCAGCTGTTTTTTTTTTTTAAACAAATTGACAAATTCATTTTAAAATGTATGTAAAAATGCAATGGACCCAGAATAACCAAAACAGTCTTGAAAATGAAGAAGAAATTTGCAGAACTCATATTTTCTGGTTTTGAACTTACACTTCCTGGTTTCAAACTTGTTATAAAGCCAACATAACATGTATGCCTGCACCTTTGTAGTCCCTCTCTGTACGCTCCAGGTGCATTATATTTTACCCTTCTGTCTCCTAAGTTTTAAGGGCCCCTTCTTTTGCTTCTGTAACTGTTCCTAAGCCCATTTCTCCACATCTCACTACTTCTACCTCTTTGACTTTCTAAATAAGCTTTCTCTATAAAAAAATTAAAAAAATATAGCTACCATAATCAACGCAGTGTTTAAGTGGCATAAAGATAGATAAATCAGTGGGAGAGAGTTGACAGTCCAGAACTCAACCTTTATATGTATGGTCAATTAATTTGCAGACAAGAATGCTAATATAGATAGTTCATTGGGGAAAGAATAGATTTTTCAAGAAATGATGCTGGGAGAACTGGATACGCCATGCAAAACAATGAAGTTAGATCCCTATATTATACCACACAAAAAATGAACTCAATATGGATCAGATAATTTCATTGATAAGCCATTTTATAATAGGGCAGGAATCTGAACAGACTTTTTTTTCAAAGATATACAGTCAAATCAGCTCATGAAAAAATGCTCAATACTGTAAGCAGTTTGGGAAATGCAAATCAGAGCAACAATAAGATTCATTTCATATCCACAAAGCTGTAATTTGGATGGTAAAAAAGGTAAATGGGAATATAGTCAATACTATTGTGATGAGTTTGCATCATGACATTTATTACTACAATTAGTGAGGTGATCACACTGAAAGTTATAAAAATGTTGAATCACTATATACCTAAAACTAATATAACTAATATAATATTATATACCAGCTATACTTAAATTAAAAATGTAAAATCAAAAAGACTTATAACATGTGTTGGCAAGGATATAGAGAAATTGGAACACTTGTGTGTTCCTAGTGGAAAATGTGAAATGATTCAGCCACTTTAGAAAATAGCTTGGCAGCTTTTCACAATGTTAAGTTACCATATATATATTGAAACTCCATTTTTAGGTATATACTGAAGAAAAATGAAAACATGCACCCATGCAAAAACTTGCATATTAATGTTCATAGGAGCAATGTGCATAGTAGAAAGAAGTAGAAATAATGCAAATGTACATCTCATGATTGGATAAATGTGACATATTCATACAATGGAATATTATTTGTCAATAAAAAGGAATAATGTGCTGATACATACTACATCTTGGATGAAACCTGGAAAACATTATGCCCAAGTGAAAGAAGCCTGTTGTCACAAAAGACCACCTATTATATAGTTCCATTTATATGAAATGTCCAGAATAGGCAGTCTGTAGAGATGAAAAGTAGATCAGTGGTTGTGTGGGTCTGAGAGTGAGGAATTGCGGGGAGGGAAACTGGGATTATTGGCTGCCAGTGAAAATGGGTTTCTTTGGGGGATGATGAAAATGTTCTAAAATTATGGTAATGGTTGCAAAACTATGAATATACAAAAACCATTGAAATGTACACTTTGAATGAGTGAGTTTCACAGTGAAATATACCTCAATAAAGCTCTTAAATATTATTAGGGATGCTCTCTGTGATTGTGTTGCATTTTTACTCAGCTAAACTAAATAGCCTGTTTCAATGACTGATCCTGTTGCAATCATTCTGAAATGTGTTGTATGTATCAGCTAAGACTAATAACCTAATAGCATTTTCTTAACTTTAAAACCACTGTAAAATGGGGATCTTTGAGTAGTGACCACATATTCTGATTCCAATTTGGAGGAATTTTTTCAGTTTTATACCCTATTTCCCCAAGTAATCTACTACAAGGGATGTATTGTGTAAAAATGAAGGTTTTTCTTTGATAGCTAAGAGATAATTAGCGTTTTAAAATAGGAGAGTTTTTCTTTATTACTTTGATAGCTGGTCCTAGGAAGGAGGACACTGGCATTAACAGAGGGACTGCTACGTGCCTGACACTTGTGCTTACTAAATACAACATGTACCACCTGGTTTAATCCAGGCAACAGCCCTGTGAGGTTGGCCTTGTTATCTCTGTGTTTCAGAGGAGGGAGGTCATCTGGCTTTTGAGTGATGAAGCTGGGATTGAAATTTAGGTTTCTAAATTCCAATTTTTGGTGCAATCTGAACTGATTTATTGGGTACCACCTTTACTCCTTGGTCCTGTTTCTAGTAGTTGTTTGCAGAAAAATGTACTGGTGTGAATAACCTTCCTGTATGACAGATTAGGTCCCCAGATCAAATGCCTAGGTTACAAGCTTGTCATTTTAGCTGTTATTCACAAAATAGGTTTCTCCTGTCTTATCTGGATATAAATACAAAAATTTAACAATCCTATTTTTTCTTCTTTCCCTCACTTAGCAATGGTGACCTAGACCCCTGGTCAGGAGGTGGAGTAACCAAGAACATCACAGACACCTTGGTTGCCATCACTATCCCAGAAGGGGCCCATCACCTAGATCTTCGAGCCAACAATGCCCTTGATCCCGAGACTCTGCTATTAGCCCGCTCCTTGGAAGTTAAATACATGAAGCAGTGGATCAGAGATTTCTATGCCAGTCTGAGAAAGACACACTGAGAAACTTTTGATCATTTTCAGTTTCTTCTTTTATGTTCATTCCACTCACATTCCCATTCACTTTGGTTTTCTACACAAAATTACTTTCCCGTGTTTATCATTGGATTTGCCGGGGCAAAGGCTGAGACAGAAGAGAGGGTGATGGTGGTGACAGCAGCCACCCCACACCCCAGGTCCTTGCCTTCTTTGACCACTTCCGGAAAGAATCTCTTTGTGGCAGCTTTGTCTCCTTACCAGGGCCCTCATAACTGCAGCAGGGTTCCTGCCTTTCCAAGAGAGGAAGTCCATTCCTTTGTTTCTCTGCAAGCAGGGATTTTTCTCTTGGTTCTTATACTGAAGTCTCTTTGGCCCATTTGTCATTCCCCACCCACCCTTGTCCTCCCAAAATGAAAAGTATAAAGATGATGCAAATGCAGCTGATAGGAAGGATGTCTGATGCCAACCCAGGAAAAAGCCATTTCTGTGGTACTTGATTTAACAACTTGGAACTGTGCTGTAAATACAGAGTAGGGTGGCATCTTGTCCCTGTGTCCTGCTCCTGCAGCTTGGGATTGCTCTGTGCACTGGGCTTGGCTGGTTTTGGAAAGTCCTTTAATTCTCTGTCTTCTACTTGGCAGCTTTTCTTAGTTCTGGGATGTTTGCCACTGTGGAACTGCCAGTGAGAAATCTGGCCTCTTTGCTCCATTTCTCTTTGTTTCTAAGGTCAGTTTTGTGGTAATTTGGTTACATTTTGTCAGTTTGGGAAAATGACTCTGTTTTGCTTTTCCTTTAACATCAGAGCAGGCCTTTATATGCTGTGGTCACTGATGATACTTTCTTAAGAAGCCATTAAAAATTGATGAATCAACTATTGAAAAAGTGGACTGTAGTTATGTTCAACTTTTTAAAAAAATTTTTATTTCCTGGTGGTTGATGCTGCTGCCATTGAAGCCAGAAGTGTCAGGACGTTAAGAGGCAGGTACACGAGAACTTTCTGTGTGGCTCCAAAAGGCAAGCTAATTCATGCGGGCAGCATATTTGACATTAATAAATGACTGAGCTGTTGCTGTTTTCAAAGGGTTGACTTCTTTCAAGCAGTTCTTACACTGAAACCTTTCTTCAGAAGAGCTTTTCTAGGATAACAAATAGGGTTGGATCCAAACCTTTCAGGGGTACAGAGAGATTCTGTTCAAAGATTTCTTCCCTCTGTTTTTAATTTTTCTTAAAAAATTAGTTTTCACCCTTCATTTTCTGTTTTAAAAAATTTACTGTGATCTCAATTTAAAGTGTCTACAAAGTGAATTACTGGATGAGAGACTGAAATATTTCCCTTATTTTCCCTGGTATCTGGAAGGCACAGAAAAATCTTTGGTTTCAGAAGCCTCTGGTTCTCATTGTAATTAATGCGTTGCCTATCAAAGCATTCGGTCACTATTTTCATTTCAACATGACAGAAAAGTATACTGTGGTGGGAATTTAAGGCTTAAAACAATACTAGTTTCTAGTTTTTGTTCTTTTTCAAGTAAAAGGTTACATAATGCTGAGTTTAGGGGGCTTAATAGAGGATATTCTTACTATTTTAGGATACTATTGATTTTGGGATGTTTTTCTTGAAATCTTTTTCCTTGCTTAAAATCTTTAAAATATTTACCTACTTCATTTAATATTAAATCTGTTGATGAACTGTATTTTTGTGAAAAGAATAATTGCCAAAAATGTCTATTTTTCTGCAATTACAATTTGGTTTTATTTTTTTCTTTACATTTTTTGACAGATGGCATCCTTAATTAAAGTTAACCTTATTATGCTGAAATTTATTTTAAACTGAAGAATTAGAACATCAAATAAACCTTATTTAAAGCATCTCTAATAGATGATGCTTTTGATGGGAGTGGGCTGAGATGGGAGTAAAAGACAGAAAACTGTACTTGAACAATAATTAAATAAATAAATATATAAATATGCCCCCCAAAATAGATGATGCTTTTGAAAGATCTGGAAAGACAGAGAATCGAGGTGGTTTTTTTTTTTTTACTTTAACTATTTAGAGTCAGTGGGTAAAACTAGGAAAACTGAGGATCTTTCTTAAGGGTTCTGTAGAGTCAAGAGATTATCCAGAAGAGCCAGTGTGTAGTCTAGCATATTAGAGAGTGAAGGCACCCCGATACCCAGCCCCACCCCATCGTTTGTAGGTGGATGGCACTTTGGCACAGAGGGAAGGAATTGTGTAAGGCCTCACTCACAGCTCATTTTTGGCTGAATCAAACCTTGAATCCAGATTTGTTTGTTTTCTTTTTATTGGTGTAGCTTAATCTTTGTTTGATTCAAGAAAATAAACCTCATTGAACCAGCTGAAGCAAAAGAGGGAACTTACTGAAACTTCAGGGTTAGCCCCAGAACTTGGGTAACCAGGTGTCATGAGTCAATGGAACTGGGGTCTGGAAAGCCATTAAAAGTCCAGACTGCTATTTCTCTTTGTCTCGCCTTGAACAGAGGTCACCAGTTGTCAGCCTGTGGGGGAGATTTGTTTCTAAGATGTTTATAGCTTGGCTGGCAGTCTACTGTGTGCATGTGCATCACAATTACCTAAAGGGCGTGTTAAAACTTTGATTGCTGAGCCCCACCCCAGAGTTTGTAGTAAATAAATCTTAGGGTGGATCTTGGGAAGTTGCATCTCTAACAATTTCCCAGGTGATGCTGGGTGATCACACTTTGAAACTTCTAGTTGAAAGAATTCTGAATTTCATTTTCTTCAGACAGGGCATGTCCCTTTAGTTCACCTCACTCCTGTTGTCCTGCCTGACCCCATTTGAGTCTAGAAGCCCTGCCTAGCATTTCTCTTCCCATTGTTGCTTCATTCTGTCTGCAGACAGTTTCCTCTTCTTTGCTTGTTCAGGGCCCATGATGACTTCCCAGCATGGTGTCCGTCATCAGGCCCTAGAAGCTGCATCTCCTCACACGCCCACAAGTCTCATGTGGTTAGGGAGGGCCAAGTTCATAAAAACATGGCGTCAGAGATCACTGTTTGGGATATATTGTTTGGACAGTTCAGGCAATTCAGTATGTATTTATTACAGTATTTCTGGGATTACAAGTATCCAAAAATATTCTAATGACTTACGCAGTAAAGAGATTCATAGTTAAGCAAGTTTGGAAAATAATGGGTTAAACAAATAGTTTAAAAAAAATCTTTAAATATACATTGTACCTCTACAAAATGGTAACTGAGAATGCAACTTTTCCTACTTTTTTTGTATGTACCCCAGGCATGAAATAGCTCCAGCCACCAATATATTACTTTATCTTAGCTTTAATGGTACATCTGCTTTGTACCTGACTGATACAAGAATAACTCTACCAATTAGGTATCGTCTTGCCCATTGCCAGGGGGTTGTCATACTCTTACTTACAGACCTACAAAGCATACAGCATTGTTCTGGAACCTGGAAACTACAGCAATAAAAAAAGCAAATACAGTATCTGTCCTAATAAGGTTTATATTCTCCTGGGAGAAAGATAGAAAATGTCAAATTATACAATAAAAGTTGTTATAATTGTAAATGCTATAAAGAGTGGGGTCTCTTAGGGCATTTACCAGGGAATCCAAGTTAGTCTGTGGGAATAAGTCTCTTTTTTTGAGATGTGACATTTTGGGTTTATCTAAACACAAAATGATGAGTGGGAGCTATACTTGGAAGAGGATGGAAAACAGCATGTGCAGAAACCCTGAGTGTAGGATGTTCAAGGACCTGAAAGAAGGCCACAGTAGTGGGACAGCAGATGACCAGAGAGAAAGTTGACATAAGAATTTGGAGACATGGCAGTAAAAAGCTCATTCATGTAGACCATGATAAAGACTCATGGTAAGGAACGATAATATTGATGGTCCTTAATCAGGGGCGTGACATGAACAGATTTTATTTAAAAAGACACTCTGGAAAAATGTCTGTTCAGGTCCTCTGCCAGTCTTTTGATTGGATTGGGCTTTTTTTTTTTTTTTTTTACTTTGAGTTGTATGAATTCTTGATACATTTTGGATATCAACCCCTAATCAGATATATTATTTGCAAATATCTTCTCCCATTCAGTGGGTTGCCTTTGTTTTGTTGATCATTACCTTTGCTGTGCAAAACCTTTTCAGTTTGGTATAATCCCATTTGTTTATTTTTTATCTTGTTGACCTTGCCTAGGGAGACATATCCAAAAAAATTTTTTTTCTAAGACCAGTGTCAAAGAAGTTATTGATTGTATCTATTCTTATGGGTGTGGGAAGAAAAGTGAAAAAGGTGAATTGGAATAGAGATAAAAATTTTCAGTTATAAAATTAGTCATGGGGGTGTAATGTGCAACATAGGAAATATAGCCAATGGTATTATAATAACAAAAAAATCATTCTGGCTGTAGAGGGTGGAGTGTGCACTGTAGGGCCAAGCATGTGATGTTGGAGAGCACTGTGGCAGCTGTCCAGGTAAGAGAAGGGCTAGCTTTGATTAGGGTGGTAGAAGTGAAAACAAGAAGTGGATGAATTTGAGAGAGATTTTGTAAGGAATATGAGTGGGATTTGGTGATATTTTCTATGTGAGGTATAAATTGGGTTAGTGTCAAGGATGGTAAATTCTGGCTTGTGTGCTTTGATTAGATACACTGGAAAGAGCAGGAGAGGGTGACCAGGTTTGGCAGAAAGGTTATGAGTTCAGTTTAGTTTCGTTTTGCTGAATTTTATGCACTTTTGAAATAAACAAGTGGAGCTGGCTGTCAAGTAGAGTTGTTGGATGTAAAGATTTGGTGACTACAGCTCAGTTCTCCATGAGTAAGCGACAGTGGCAACAGATGCAGTGGCACCAGCAGTTTTCAATCCCTGAGGAGAATGAAGACACTATTTGAAGAGATCAAAGCATCAGTTAAAAATAACTATAACCAAAAAACCCCTGGAACTTACTTCGGGTTGGAAAGCCATGGTGAGTAGATAGTAATCAAAGCATGGAATGTGAGCTTGAGGAACTTGTGTTCAGGAAACATACTTCATGAGCTCCTATGGTACTATAACTTGATACATTCTGCTTCTGTAACTGGTAGCATGACTCCACCGGGCAAACACACCACCTGATCCCTGGTACAGCTTTGGCTTCAATTGGGATCTAGTTCTGTGCACTTGTTTTCCATCCTTACTGCTGCCTTTCACTTTTCTAACACCCTGTAATTCAGCCACACCAAATGTCCTATCATTCAGAAATACCGTTTGGCCGAAATGCTCTTATGGGGCACTTGGGAGCCTCTCCCCGCCTCTTTATTTCCCTGGGCCAGCATGCTAGCTTCCCACCCCTAGAACCCCTCACCCTTAAACATGCCTAACTTCTCCCTCTTGTCTTTGAAGGCTCTCTCTCCCTCTCTTTCTCCTAAGCATCAAGGGCCCTTTTGCTGGAATTTTTTTCCTGAGTCCATTGCTTCTACCTCTGTGAACCTTAAAAAAAATAAATAAAAAACCGCTCCTCAGCCTACAATTCTGTTCTTAGCACTACCCTTCGGTATGCTTTCAATGACAAACTTCTGTGCACCTTTCAAAGGCCAGATCAACTTGATTACTTCCCTTTGAAATTTTACTCCACTACTGAAGAGAGTGGGGTTCCTTATCTGTGCCCTTAGAACAAAGTTCACACCTAGCATGTCAGCCATGTCAGAATGTGAACTTCAAGGTAGGGATGGTCTGCGTAGTTCATCTCTGCATCTCCAGTACCTTAAATGGTGCTTGACCACCTCGAATTTACAGTTTTGGGGTTTTTTTTTTGCCATGTATAATGTGCATCCACATTTTGTGCTTGTTATACACGGGATTACTATACCCATGGCATGTAATTATTATACCCATGTGTAATACATACCCTTATCTTTCCCTCAAAATATGGGCACACAGTGCATATTATACATGGCAAAATATGGTAGTATACATACCCCGATTGTTAATATTGTGCTAAGTGTTCTTGCCCCCTTTTCAGAAAGACCAGACTGAGAGCAGGGACTATGTCTTATTCCTTCTGTTAATCAGCATCTAGCCTGGGGCCTGGTGGCCAGGTATCAGTAGGTCCTCTGTAAATTTATACAAATAGATACATTTCAGGGTGGAAAGGCCATGCTTTGATGTGAACTACGACCAGCGGTGTCCAGCGGTGTTGTGGATGTGATGAACAAATTCACATGGCCTGCAGATGTCCTGTGGAGAAGAGGGAGGGGATGGCCACTCTTGAGTGAGAGAGTGCCTGGCCCTTTCCTGGACAGGCTTTTATTGCTTTCTGGAAGGATTATATCAAAGAAGGTTCTGATTCATTATGCTCAGGTTTGCTTTAGGTGATTACTTTTTACAGATAACAAAGAAAAAGATGTTGCAAATGCAAGGGGAAAAGTGGTTGAACTTAGTCCTTGGGAGGTTTAGCACAGACTTTAGGAACTTCAAAGGTATGCATTAAACATTTTCTGCCTTAATTCAGCATGAGGGACTTTTAGCAAAAGCAAGCCTCAAAGCAGCCTAGATATAATGCAGGCTTGGTTCCCCATAGGAAAGCCGATCTGTGGGCCTGGCTCTTGTGTGCCAACTCATGCCTGTCTATTTTCTGAACCAGGGCTGAGTTACATTTGCCACTGCCACACAGACCAGTTCCCTATAATGCTTTTTATCCATCCCTCTCTCTGCTCATGTGGCCTCCTCCCCTGGGCTTCCCTAGATTTTGGATTGGGGATTTTCTCGTACTCAGATCCTCTAGAACTTGGACTTATTGATTTTCCTTCACTTGAACTCCATGTTTCTCCCTCTCCCACTGCATCAGCCTGGCAGTCTTTCTTCAGGGGGCTGAATGTAACTCTGCCTTAGGTGAGAAGAGAACACTAACTAGAAACAGCCATTGAAGTAAATGGATTTCTCTGGAGCCACTTTTCATGGCAAGGGGTCAAAGAAGGGGCTGGTTCCAACAGAT